TCTCTGCTTTTGCGTTAGTGTTCTTTGACTAGTGAAACGTCTTCTCATTTATAATCAAATAAAAAAATATATTTAAACTTTTATTTTGCTGGAAGTTTTGAATCTATTATTCCCTGTATTTGTTCTTGAAGTTGATTTTTAGCTGTTTCATTGTAATTAAGAGACCTAATATATTATTAATTGCATTCTTATAATCATCTGATTTCTCAAATTTTCTTTTATCTGATTCCTTAACTAAATCATAAGTTAAACCTCGTTGCTGATATAATGGTTTCTTAATTAAATCTTTGAATGCTTGAGATAAAGCACCTGATGCAATTCTTGCTACTATAATTGGTTGGAATTGATGTTTTAAGTTCATCTTTAACATTTGCGAAAACTGGATCGAATAAAGCAACTTTAAAGAATTTCTTAGCTGAAATTTCAGGTCTAATATTTGCATATTGACCATCAAACTGGTTAGAATATCGTGGTAATCCATCCGGTCCCTCTTCATAGCATTTAATTCTTCATTGAAATAAGAATATGGATTATGACGGTATGAATTAATTGGACCATTTTCACCTTCTCCAATGTATTGTTTTAACAGCTTTTCCATTTTCATCAAATTGCATAGGATAACGTTCATTATATGCTTTACGTTTAGGATAATCAGATATAGTTAATTTGTAACCATTTATGACTTTAATATTACCTTGACCATCAGTAACGAAAACTTCATTTATACATCAGGTTTTCCATTTGGACCCGTAATGTCTGCTTCGTGTGCTTCCCAATTTGGACCTTGACGTTTGGCATATGCTTGAGCTTCTGGTAATGTTAAAACGTTTCTCATTTGTTTAACATCTTTTTGAAGACCAGCAACAATATGAACTAATTCTTTCATTCCATCAGGAACTTTCATAGTTCTATTATATGCACCCTTTTTGTTTGTCCCTTGTTTTAATGGAACCTGTAGAAGATTTGCCATTTCTGTCATGTTTAATTATAAATAAAAAATAAAAATTAATTATAAAAGTTAATCAAATTTAACACTTCCTTTATTTAAATCAACTATTATTTTTCCATGTTCACCTAATTGGCTGATATTGTGTGTAAAGTTCATTAATGCTCATTGGTAAATTCACTTGATAAAGCATAACGTTCAACTGTTGACGACTAAACCCACTGAAAATGAAAAGTGTTGATAGATTTGATTTAATGTTTGTGCTTAATGCTTTGAAGTATTGAACAGCCATGAAGAATGAACACTGAATGTGTCGACATTGAGTTAATAACTGATTAAAATATGATTTCTCATTTGTTATTAGTTTTGATTTCACTGCATCATCTAGAAAAATGAGTGAATGCAAAAATTCTCTATCAAAATTTGAAATAGAAAGTGTTTCAAATAATTCATCCCGTTGTTTATCAATAATTTTTATCCTCTAATCTTGCTTCTTGATTGTATTATATAATTCTTTATACATTAAAAGTTTTTAAATAATCTTCTGCTTCTTCTTGTGATAAGTAAATAATTGGAATTTTGATTAAATGCTTTAAAGATTCAAATGTATCATCTGAAGGTGAACCTGAACGGTTAATATAAATTCACATGTGAATAGGGGAAGTGTTAGCAATAATGATAATTTGTTTTAATATCGTTAATGTTTTACCTTTATTTTGTTTACCAATTGCTGCAGTGATTGAATTTAAGTAACATTCAGAATATGGAATTTTCATTAATTTTTCCTTAGATAGAGCATTTCTATTATCACTCAATGCTTCATTAATCATATCATCTACGTATGTATTATATACTCACGCTAATTCTTCATAAGGGGTGGATGAATTTAAATCCATTTAATCAAAAATAAATTTATAATTTTAAACATTTCTATTCATCAATATTTCATCATATGAACTTCTATATTGTGGTGGTGTACCTGTTGGATGATATTTCAAACCTTCGCCCGGTGTCCATGTCCAATATGTAGTCCTAGTAAACCAAACCTGAGGAGGATTTGTCACCTTTGAACAGTAAGTGTCATTTACACCCTGAATGATTGGATAAGCTTTCACTTGTACTGTAACTTGTGAATTGAAAGTTTCTAATCCATCAAAGAATATACCCGCTCATCACGTTGAACTGGAATAGTGCATAAGAATGAAGTTTGGTCTTTCCATGTTCTAGCTAATGGTGTGCCATCATCTGCATTCAGTGGTCTAGTTAATGAGTCCTCGTATTCTTCCGTGCATTCATTCACTCCATCTAAATCAGAAGCTTGAAGCATACGTGTAAAGAATATATCACCCACTGTGGTCATCGCTTGATCGGGGAAGTTTCTGGAATCTATAGTGACCTGAAGACCTCGAAGCATTGGATTTTCTAAAACCGTTCTTTGCATTGCATTCTTCGGAAATGCTAACACAACATCTGTAACATTATGAAGAGCGTATGAGAAATCTGAGCTAATACCTTCAGGAGTGATGCAACCTCCATTTAGTGAACGAACGTCAATATGTTGAGCTGGAATCATGAATGGATCTTCCTTACTGAATAAACGTGGTATGCTTTAACTGATTCTTCAATTAAACCGTATCCTGGTGTAATGCATTTATCCTCTAAAACTTCCATCTTTGTGCATGAAATAATAACGTCTTCAACTGTTGCGTCAGCAGATGTAGCGGCTAAGCTTGTAATTAATTTGGCAGGAAGTCCGATTTGTTGGAATTTGCGATCATATTTATAAACATGATTCATAATCTTTTCATAATTTTCATCAGTTATCTTTTCATAAACGTAATTTTGTAAATCAGCAACTCTTAACGGGTCAACCTGACAAAATACTAAAGTATCCTTGAAAACATAATATTTAAGAATGATATCACCAAATGATTTAGGATAATCATCGAACGCCTGAAATGCTAACAAATCATTTACCGGAATAATCATATCAAAAGTGATATCAACTTCTTCATTTGCTTTCTTGAAAACTTCTGAAGGGTCAATATATTTTCCACATACTGAGTTATCATATTTTTGAACATTATTATATAACGAATGAACAAACTTTTTAACTTTCCTTTCTGATTTTGGTTTATATGTTGCAAATGCGAAAGATTCACGGGCACAATCCATCTGAAGATAACCGGCATCACCTCTTTCAGTTTCTACTTCTAATTGTTTAAAGCTTTGATTTGATGATTTGTAACCAACGAATAAACGCATGCATTTAAAAGCGGCATCGCATGTGAAAGCTTTATTTGAAACTAGAGTTACTTTAACTTTGCGTTTAATATATGTGTCACCTAATTGGTTCACATCATGAGCCGGATTTGTAATTCTTAAATGAGTTTGTTTATCATCAAAATATGGAGCATCAGAGTCATAGCATGAACTTTCAAGTTCTCTATAATATCTTCTACCATCATTCTTTGCGAATATTTCATTTATCTTTTCGAATGAATGAAATACATTTCCATTAATTGGTTTGGTGTTTGGCACCAAATAGTTAGTCGTCATTTATTAATAAATAAAAAATCAAAATTAAAAGATGAAAATGAATTTTTAATTTTAATGAAATAATCAACTATGGCTGCAGGATTCTTTAAAAAATTATGGGATAAAGTAAAAAGAGGAGCGCATAAAGTTTGGGAAACAATGAAGAAAGGAGCAAATTGGATATTTAAGAATAAAGAAGCAATTAGTGACGTTGCTGAATCAATAACGCCAAAAGCCGCCCCAATAAGAGAAATATTAAATAAAGGAGAAAAAGTTTATCAAAGACTTCAACCGATACTAAGATAAAAATAATATTTATTTATTTTTCCACTATCTACCTCCTATTTTATTAAGTATTCCTTCAGCTATTCCACCAATTGCGTTACCTGCTTGTGCTCCCATCGCCGGATTACCTGCTTTAGTACCTAATACTCCACCTATGATAGTTCCTGCCGTTTTCGCTACTGGTGCCAAAAAGTTTGCAATGGGTTTAATAATCTTTTTATGAACCCAACCTGCAGCTTTCTTAATTCCATCCCATAATTTTTTAAAGAATCCTGCAGCCATTTCTGATTTAATATTAATTAAAAAATATATTTCATCACTTATATTCTAATTTTTATTTAATGATAAATGAAACCAATTTTAAAAATAAATGAAACAGAGGAGGATGAAATAAATGAAAGTGATAATGTTCAACAAAAAATAAACGTTGTTAAACCAATTACTGAAATAAAAAATTTTTCATCTGTTGAAGAATTTAATGACTATTATGCTAATAATAAAAAATTATTTGAAGAATTGACAACGTGTAAATTGAATAAAATGTTTAAAGTTGATGGATTCAAAATTTCAAAAATAAAAGGAGTGGTTAGTTTGAAATCTATTCCTCAATCAAGAATCACCTCATTAATGAAAATAGATGATTTAACAAAAAGAATAGAAATTATTGAAGAGCGAATAAATCAAATTATTGATTTCATAAATTCAAATAATCATTAGCTTCTAATTTCTTTTTACTCATTTATGAGGTCTTTGATTATGACTCCATTGATTCCATTCAGGATTTAAACAATGTTTAATTAATCGCGGAATATCTGACATCATCTATATATAGCTTCTTTTATAAAAGATGAAAAATAAATTATTCAAAAATTAATGTTAATTTTTTTAATGATTTATTTCATTATGTTTGGGCTGAGTGTAAATGTCTTACAATTTTGAAAATTTTTTAAATCTTGATTTATTCAAAAACGTAAGAATAAAAACCGTAAGAATCATACATTTTTTACTTCATATGTTAAAAAAAATGATACAAAATCGTTCAATATTGTATGAATTCTTACGTTTACAAAAAAAGTCACACAACCCGTCCACATATACTACTGAAAATCGATAATGTTTTACAATTAAGATTTTCCAAGATGGTGAATTCTAATTAAGAGCTATGTCAAATGTAAAGTTCTTTTGTAAGGATCAAAAAGAGCACGTTTATAAAAAAAAGGTTTTCACAAAAATGAGAAATTCTTCAAGAGGAGAGAGCGTTGAAGATTTTCTCAAACATGATAATCCACAGATTGCTTCATTACTTAGATGTGATGATGTTCAAGCTGCTTGGCGTTCAAAAAATAGACAATTAGTAAATATCTTTTCCAAAACTGAAAATATTCACAAGATAATCGACGTTTTACATACATCAAAAGATTTTCAAACTGATAGACATATTCTTGGTATATGCATTTCTCCAAATACTATGATATTAAGAGCGATTATTGATGAAGTTGACCTTGCAGAACATCTTGTTGAAATTTTAGAGAAACCGAAGTCAGTACACAGATATGTTATTGGTATTGTCATGCAAATTTTACTTAAAGCGTTTGATACGTGGCCAGATGACGTTTTATATTGCTTACAAAGTTCTAGAAAGATTTATCCTAAAATTGTAGCATCATTACAATTTCCAGCTGTATTTCATTTCTCATCACGTATTATTCCTCGCTCAAATGATGTCGTTACTTTTGCATGGGTTACATTTGCAGCTTTAATGGATGCTCATGGAACCGGACCTAAAATACCAAGCGATGTCAACAAAGATGTCACTAATAATGCTGTCATTCCTAAGCTGAATCCTTTACAAAGACAAAAAGCAATCGAAATTTTGTGCATTTACTTCAACGAATACGGTAACAGATCAGAACTTTTTACAATTGTTAGTCAAGCCATACCATTAATGCTACAAGATGCTTCAGATGACCAAGAGAGAGCTTTAGTTATCAGATTAGGTTTAAATCTTGAGCCAAATGAAGCTTTAGGATATTCTGTGCTTAGTGTTGTTAACTGTTTTAAGTCAACAGATATTCTATTACAGTATTCTTTGCTTTATATCGCTGCATGGAATGTTATGATTGGAAATAAGTCAATTGAGTTTTTTGTTTACAGATTACTAAAGCGCCCTGCAAATAACTTTGTTCTCATTGCTTGTGCTGCTATGATTCGTAAAGTTCTTGAAGTTGATCCAAGAAATAAAGATTTATCTGAAGGTATAAAGCAAATTGTTGACCATGCATATGCAAATAACCCTTATATGAAATCAAATATGATGATGACATTCAGAATTGAGCTTCTTCATGCAGCACAAGGTTTAGATATGGAACCAGAGTCAACATATTGTGCTAAGCAGCTCAAAAATGCCAATAAAACACAGGTTGTGAAATTTAATCAGTCGCTTATTGATGATTTTGTGATGACTGACAAAAAAATTATCGAAAATAATGAAATTTACCATCCGGAATTCAATGTTAAGCAACTTTGGAAGACTCCAGACCTCATAAACAAGATGTCTTCTATATTCAAGACCATTACAAGGCTTCCTCATTTAGATCCATCAAATTCCATTTCCAGACCACTTCCATCTCCTTCTCCAAAGAAGCCAGCAAAGCGCCAGAGCTTTGCACCGAAGTCCAAGGAAGCTCCAATCAGGATGCCGAAGAAGCAGAGCCATTCTGACGATGAAGATCTGAAATTCAAAGACGATGAAGACATCGATGACGATGATAAAGAACCGCATACATTAGATCCACCTCCTTTAATGCCATTACTCATACAAGATGGCTTAAGACCACCTTCCCTGATGATTGCTTCCGATGACGATGACAGCGAGGAAGAAGAAGACTTCGATTTCGAACTTCCTGAAGTAGAAGTCTCCGAGAGTTTCGCTCAGTATCAGAGCCGTCTTCCTGTAGAACCTCCTATAACAGAAGACGAAGCAAACTCCGAGAAATTGCCAACAGAAACTCTCGCGAAAGGACAGAAACCAATTCCAAAAATCAATCCGGAATCACCGCGATCAAACAAAGCGATGTTTCTCAATGACAGATTGTTCAATGAAGAAAGGCCATCACCAAGGATTAGTAGACGTCCTGCTCCTATCATTATACCTCATAAACAGCTCATTCTTGAAGATGACGAAGAGGATGAAGAAGATTACGAATACGAGTACGAATATGTCGATGAACAAGAATTCGAACAACAACAGAAAAAAGTACAAGAAAAAGTTGCAAACCTTCCTGTTATTGTTGCAAATCCATCGACAAAGCTATCTAATACTAAATTGTCTATAAGTACACCTCAGTTGCAGATAGATAATGATATGCCAAAGCCAGTACAAGTTTCTCAATCTCCGCCTGTTTCCTTGGAAGGATTTCCAAAACCACAAATTGATTTTGTCACACAGATACAGACAAATAATGACAAATCACGCGATTTCTTGTTGCAATTGGACTTGAATCAGATAGATGCAGCACCAGAGAAGAATAAAGTTGTTATGCATAGAAGAGTTCTTGTTATAGAAGTTCCTGAAAAACAACCTCCAAAACTATTTTTGGCACCAACACTTTCAGTTGAAAGACCAGAAATTCCACTTCCTTTGTTGCCAAAGAAAGTTGTTGTTGCAGAAAATCCTCGCATATTCTTCAATTATAATGATGAATATAGTGAAGAGGAAGAGGAAGAAGAAGATAACCATGAAGAATTTGTTGAAGAAGTCATTTCTTTTGTTCGGAAATAATAAAAATATTTGTTTTTTTTATTTTCTTTAACTTGCAAATCATTATTTGTTTTTAGTATTCAACTTGATGATCTGAATCTTTATATTGTTTCATGTTTCTTGTGAAAATTTGAATTCTAATTACTTTCACATTTACGAAACATTCATCCAAAATAAAATAATACGCAGTTTGATTGATTTTGTTAGCTGTTAAATAATTAATGGTAGCTATATCCATATAATTTCAAGAATTCATATGAAACATTTCTTCGTTAGTCACAATATGATTCTTTTTGCATTATGATTTGCATATGAAAGCAAATGATTACATCAATAACTCATTTTTAAAAAAATTAATATTCAAATTTATGTCAAATTAAAGGAAATATCAAATATTTTTTACCTTAGAAGATTCAAACCGATTTAACATTTTATTCCTTTGAAAAATGGCCAATTATACTGACATCTTCTTCTTCATCTGGAAAATCTATTTTGTCATCATCGTCATTGTTAAAATCTGCAGTTAAGTGTCCGAAAAGCTCGAACTTATTTATAGCAAGGCAAGGCGGATCTCCAGGAACTGGCTGAGTTTGAATGAGTCTAACATATCTTGCTTCATACTTCTTGTCAAGCATGTAAGTTCTTTCGGCACAGTATTCCATCTTCTTATCCTGCTCTATTTTATGAACATCTTGCCAATTTTTCATATCATTTGAAACTTGTAGAGCCCAGCTATAAAGAGGACAGTAAACGCAGTATCCATTTGATTCACAGCAGCATCCACCATAACAGCATCCGGCTCTAACGAAATAACCTGAAATCATGAATTTTCTTCTGTTATAATTGAACATTATCCATGGTTTCTCTGAAAACTTTCTTCCACAATTAGAACACCAGTCATATTTCTTATCCCAAGGATAAATTGAGTATTCTGGTTTTGTTAATTGCAAAGATTCATTAATATTCTGGTACCTAGTACCGCTAACCGTAATTTTAAGTTCTGTAGATGGATATATATTCTTGAATATGCCTTGTTCTGCTTGTGTTACTAATTGTATCAATGATATCATTTTTGTCACTTTTGCAGATATTGAATATCATATAGGTGATATTCTTATAGAGTTCACTTTTAGATCAATGGTTTTGTAAGAATTTTTCATCAGAATGGAAAGAAATTGTTATTTCGCATCAAATAGCAGTAATAGTGGGCGCGTAAAGGTTTGGCGTCCTAAGGCGTCCTGATGTAAACTATTCAATTTTTGAGAAGTTTACACCATAATTGAATAGTTTATGGCGTCCTGAGAAGAGATTTCAATGGGTATGGCGTCCTAAAAAAAATAGAAGAAAATGATTTTTTCTCGATTTTTCTAGAAATTGAATTTTTTAAAAAAGAAAAAAATCAAAACGTATACATTCAAGAAAGACTATAAATGAAGATTTTTCTATTTTTTTCATTCTAAAACATCTTTTTTTGGATAATTTTTTTTTAATAAATATGTAAGAAAGATTGAAGAAAAAGTAAATTTACTTTAAGAAAATTCGTTTTACATGATGTAAGACCCATAACAACTATAAATATTCAATTATTTAAAATAAAAAAAGAAAAACAGATTAAATGTATCTCACATCAAAATCCATTGACCTAAGGATGTTAAGTTTCTGTTTTTAAAAGTTGATATTTTTTTTTAATTTTAAGAAAATTAATAGCATGTTATTAGACAATAGGAGTGTAATGATATTGACTAAACAGAAATGAGAGAATAGAGATATAATTTTGATAAGCAATATTAGTAGTAGGATATGAAGGGTTGTGTGACTTTTTTTGTTGCATCTATATATAGACGATGCATTAAAATATATTTATTTATAAATCATTAAAAAATTAACATTAATTTTAAAATAATTTATTTTTTTATCTTTTATAAAAGAAGCTATATATAGATGATGTCAGATATTCCGCGATTAATTAAACATTGTTTAAATCCTGAATGGGTTAAACTTCAATTTAAAAATGAAGATTGTGAATTATTAAATGAATATGAAAGCCAAAATAAGCTAATGAGGTATAAATATAATGATAAAGAATATTTAATTTCATGGAATCAATGGAGTCATAATCAAAGACCCCATAAACGAGAAGAAGAAATTGAAAATAATGAAATGGAAATCATTGATGACATTAAAGAGGGTGGAATTCCTAAATTTTGTAGAAAAACCTTTAGAACTAAGTTAGGAGCATATAAACGTAGAGTATTAAATCCTGAATATCTTAAACATCAATTTAAAAAGGAAGACTGTGAATTATTAAACGCTAATGAATATGAAAATGCTAAATCAAAACTGAGATATAAATATATTGGAAGTGATGAAAGGTGTAAAGATAAAGAAAAGTTTATTCAGTTTCATATAATAACTGGCACACGTTAGGGATAAGAAAACATTTAGGAGATTATGGGAAATGTTCTGAATTCTTTAAATCTAGTATATACGAGAGAGTAAAAGAAATTAGAAATAATTATTTTCATGAATAAAAAATAAACTTTACGAAAAATTAAAACTTAGTTATGTTTATTATTTTATTTTTTTATTTTGTATGAAATGAGCGTCAAAACTAACAACGTTAAAAAATTAGGATTCACAAACGAGGAAATAAAGGATATATTAGAGGAGGCGGGTTATGAAGTTGATAAATATTATTTAAGAAATTGTAAAAAATTCGCGGAGTTATTAAATGATTTAGATTATGATGGAAAAATGAATAAAGATGATGTTATAAATTTCTTATATCCCACATCTGAAGAAGAAAAACCTAAAGAACCTGATGTTTTCCCTGAATATTATGAAGAACGGATTAAAGATGATGTGAATACAATGAAATTGAAAGACTGAAAAAATAAGAGATGAAATAGATGAAAAAATTAAGGAATTAAGAGAAGTTGAAAAATATAATGAAAATGAAGTAGAGGGTTTAATGAATATCCCAGCTTCAGAATCAGAAGTTCAGAAATCTCATGAAGAAAGATATAAAAATTATGTCTCAGAATCAACACAAAATTTATTAGATGGTGAAATAGACGAAACACTTTCAGAAGAAGGTACTAAATTTATTCGTAAACATAAGTTACAATTTATTGATAATGAAGAATACCCTGTATCCTACTTTCACCACCTTTAGATTCCGAAAAATTCAAAAAAGCTCTTAAAAACGTGACATATGCAACTAATACGATTAAGAAAGAAGATCATGATATTTACACAAATTATTATTTAAATAAATGCACAGGTGTTGATAAAGTTTTTGATTTATTAGATAAAATATCAAAAGAAACCATTGGAACCTATAAAATTTTGTGTGATTGTGGTTTCATTATTGAAGATACCAATAATGTTTCATATGAAAGAACAGCACCGAAGGAAGACGAAGTGAAAGGTCTATACCATTCGTTATTAAGAATATAAAAGATATGAAAACGTATAAGCATTATATTTATTCATTTATTTCAGAAAAAATGGAAGCAACCCATAAAACATCTTCTCATCATTTTATAGCTATTCATACATTCCTTTTCAAAGTTGTGAAATTAAATAAGACAGGAATTAGATTTAATGTATCAGGGTACGCATTCTTGAGTAAATTAAAATGTATTCGTCACGTCGCAGATGATAAAAATTTATGTGTTCTTAATTCATTTTATGGGCTTTAAAAAATAAACTTTATTTTTTAATTTTTTATTCTTACATAAATGAACAAAAACGGAACAGCTAAAATGAATGATAATCAAATTAGAGCAGAAGGTAGAAGGTTATTTAAACGCTTCTATAACATTCCTGATGGTGTTAATCCTAAAACTCGTAGAAGCTATTTAAATGAAGCAATAGATGCATATGAAGGGTTTGACATTTCATCAGAAAGTGAGAGATTAGCGAGAATGTTAAATGTTAATATTGATTTCTATTATTGTGATCCTCAACCAGAAGACGTGGACATAAATAAGGTAGACTTTCCATTAGTGGAATCAATAATGATAGATCCAGAATTTGAAACAGTAAATATTTTATTAACACAGAGTCCATGTGGAAAACTTCACGCTGACAGAATAACAGACATAGAAGCACTCACCGGCTATAAAGTTTGTCCATATTGTAAAGAAGAAGTTTATTCTATCCGTGATGACCCAGAAAGGAAAAACCAAAGAAGATTTTTAAAGCATTGTGAGAAATGTAAAGAAAATAATGGAAGATTAATTCAAGACGTTCAGTTGCAAAAGACACAGCAACCATATGCACCACATATTACGAAACAGAAGATATATCAGTGGTTATTAGCTCACAATTTGCAGGAATATTATCAACCGACAAGGTATTATATTACTTTTGACTTCGAAACATTAGAGACTAAAGAAGAATTACAACTTTCTGAGTGTGCAACTTTGAATGCTTACTTAAAACCATTCATGGTATCATCAACGGTTAAATTAAATGATAAAACATATACGAGGAATTTTTGCTTAACTTCGAGTGATTCTTTTATTTCTGATTGGATTGAGTTTTTATTTTCAACCTGTTCATTAGTTGTTGAATCAAATATGAGTCAATACAATGAATTATTGAAGTCGCAAACGGCGGGGACTTTGTCTCATACATTAAATGAAAAACAGAAGGAAGCATTTAAAGAACTTCTAGATGAGGAATTCAATAAAGTGAATATCATAGGTTTTAATTCGGGAAAGTTTGATTTAAATTTAATTCTTCATGATTTAAACACTGCAAAATGGAAAATAAAATCAATGCTGGGTTCATCTTCACAATTTAAGCAAATCATTGTAAAGAAAACAAACGTTCCATATGAATTGAGATTTATTGACATCAGAAATTATATAGCGGGTGGGACATTAGACCAATTCACTCAAGATTTCGGAAACAATAAATCACGTGTTAAATCCTTTTTCCCTTATCAATTCATCACATGGGAAAATTACGAGAAGAATTATATAAAGTGGAACCATTCACTCAAGATTCATTTTATTCAGCATTAACCAAGAAACTATATCAGATAGTGATTATCAAATATATCTCAATGATGCTAAAAATTTTAAGAATAGATTAGAATATTTTATTCATTATTGCAATAAAGATGTTGAAATTATGATTGACCCAATTGATAAAATTATTGAAGAAACATTTGTTTATAAAATTGACATGCTTCATAATCTTTCTTTATCATCGAATGCTTCAATGATTCGTTACGCTTTAGCATATAAAGACTTTAATCCTAATGAAAAATATCCTGAGGAAGAGATAGAATCAAGTTTTGAATTAACGAAAAAGTATTGGAAATATAAAATTGAATCATATAAGAAACAAGATGAAAAAGCAGAAAGGGATACTAAAAATAATGTTTCAATGGATGATTTTCAATACTATCACGATTTAATCCTTTCATCTAAATGCAAAATGTGTGGTAAAGCGTTTACATATGCAAATAAACCAACATTGGATAGAATCGATAATGAAAAACCACATACCAAAGAAAATTGTCAGTTAATGTGTTGTTATTGCAATGTCGTAAAATCAAATAAAGATGAAGATGTTCAACGTTTAAGAATCAATTTAAGAAATTATGCATTAAAAAATAATTTACCAATGACTTTAGATTCAGTTGAAGCTTATCACATTCTCCGTAATGGAATTACTGGTGGTTTATCAAATGTTCAACATAGAGTAAATCTTAAAGGAATCACGCACATTAATAAACTTTCATATAATCCAGAAACTAAAACTGTATCAAATGAGGACACCACCAACATTATGACTCATTTCGTTGGTGTTGATTTTAATTCATTATATCCTTCATCATTTTCATCTAATCCTCATGATTTCATTCAATATACTGACCATAAAATGTATATGCCGGGAAGATTGAATGGTGTTATCATTTGTGATACAGCAACAAAGAAAGCAAAACACTGGGAATAATTAAGAAGAAAAATAATTTATTCGTGGCTGAAGTAAAGGGTCACATTGATGAAAAATACATTAATGATTACATAAACTTTTTACCGATAATAAG